TGTGTGTGTGTGTGTGTGTGTGTGTGTGTGTCTGTGTGTATTCCTTTTTGGTTATTTTTCTTTCAAATGTGTTCAGGCAGCCTATATAATTTAGTTGTAGGATTAAATTTGAATCTATTTTTAAACGTAAACTTACAAACTTAGATAATAGTCTCTTTTAGAGTACTTTCCATAATATACTAAGTCAACTACAGTATGGAAACTAATTTGCTCTTGAAATTCCACTTAGTGACACTACTTAGAATTTGTGTCTAAGGAGAATCTAAGAAAGAATCTAAGAAAGGAGAGTCTAAGGAGAATTGGGGATAGCCACGTCTATCACTCATGAGACATTTTTTTTGGTTATAATCTTTTGATTTCTTTTTAATATGATAGCTTTATTGATATGTAATTCACATACTATCCAATTCACCCATTGAAAGTGTACAATTTTGCGAATGGGTTTTAGCATATTTCAAAATTGTGCAACTGTTACCGCTATCTAATTCCAGAATATTTTCATCACCCCCCAAGGAGACCCTGTACCCATTAAGCAGTTACTCCCACTTTCTCCTTTCCCCATAGTCCTCACAACCACTCATTTGCTTTCCAACTCTGTGGATTTGCCTTGTGGATATTTCATATAAATGGAACCATATAATATGTGGCCTTCGCGACTGGCTTCTTCCACTTAGCATAATGTTTTCAAGGTATGTCCCGTGGCGGAATAATATTCCCTTTTGTGGGTATATCACATTTTGTGTATCCAGTTCATCTGTCAGTGGACACACAGGTTGTTTCCACCTGTTGCCTATGGCGAATCGTGCTGCTAGGAACGTGAGTGCGTAAATATCTCTTTGAGGCCCTGCTTTCAGTTGTGTGGGGCATATACCAGCAATGTGTGATTGTTCCGATTTTTCCAATTTTTCTCATTTTTATTATGGCCATGCTAATGCATGTGAAGCAGTATCACACTGGGGTTTTCATTTACATTTACCCCATCTGGCTAATTTTTTTTTAAATATTGTAAATATTTTCCTAGAGGTCATTGCCTGACAGCCTTAACCTTCTAGAACATGACCCCACATGGAACATATTGCAAAAGGGCCCCCAAACCAGCAACAGCAGTCACAGACTTGCTGCACGAAAGCCCTGCACTTTGTCCCTTAGGCCCATGTTCAGTGAGAAACTAACTCGTATTCAGCGTTCGTGATTGGCTGTTATGTTTTCCACAAGGGAGCTGGGCAATCCACAATGGCAGGTACTGTGGCTGGAAGAGAAGCGATAGTAGAAGTGACAGGTGACAATCTGCCACTGAAGGAGGAAAACTGTGATACTTCCTAGGACATTTATGACCCTACGTCTTCAACTAGAGGTCAAATTATGTTCAGTATTTTGTAAGAAGGCAAGACTACATATAATACACTTTATTTTATTTTTTATTTTTGGGGGAGAGAGACAGAAACAGAGAGAAAGGAGGGGGGAGGGAGGAAAAGAGGGAGGGGCAGATGGGGAGAGAGAGAGAGAGGGAGAGAGAGAGATCAAGAAGGCTCCACACTCAACACGGAGCCCAAATTGGGGCTCGATCCCACAACCACGAGATCATGACCTGAGCCGAAATCAAGAGTCCTATGTTAACCAACTGAGCCACCCAGGTGCCACTACATATAATACATTTTAGAAAGGTTTCTGTAAAGAATGACTTAGAGAAATACGTTTGCCCTTGAATGATCGGATAAGCTTGCATGAATTGTCTAGATACTTAATTTCCCACTGATATCTAAAAACTTAGGTAATATTGAGTCTCATCTTGAATGCAGAAAAACAAACAGAAAATCCAAACCCTGTAAAGATATTGTTCAAAAAATTAAATGTTCTCAAGAACTTATTTCTGCTTTTTGGATGAAGTTGACAATTAGTGGGTTTGCCTGATACTCAGAGCTTACTTTTACTTGACCAAATCCCTGTTATTTCAGTATGTGTTCACATCATGATGCTAATAAATTAACTTCTTATCTACTCTCTCAGCTGAGTTCCTGAAAATTGTTCCCGGTTGACACTGGGTTAAACTGCAAACCTTTAAGCTGCACAGTATTTAATGTATGACTGAACCATGCTTTCTGTCTCACTCATTTGTATATGCTGAAACTTCCTTCTGATTTGTTCCAATATCCCTTTAAAGGGACTAAGAACTAATAGAACATACAGAGAACAAAAACAAAACAAAACAGGTGCCTGGGTGGATCAGTCAGTTAAGCCTCCAACTCTTGGTTTTGGCTTAGGTCATGATCTCATGGATCGTGAGTTCAAGCCCCACATCGAGCTCTGTGCTGATGGTGTGGAGCTTGCTTGGGATTCTCTCTCTCCCTCTCTCTCTGCCCCTCACCAACTCACACTGCCTCTGCCTCTCTCAAAATATATAAATTAACCTAAAAAAAAAAAAAAAACACGAGCATCTTTTCGAAGGATTTTTTTTTTCTTATCTGAAGCACATTTTACATGTCACATCCTCTCCCCTACCACATTTACCACTGGGGGTCCAGCGAGTTCTGTCATGACCATTTTACGTGATTGTCAACAATTACATCTCAAATATACACATAGAGTTACCTCTGAGAGCAAGTTAAATTTTCTTAGCAATTCCTGTTCTGGGTTTTGAGAGCAGATAATCAAGCCTTCAATCATACCACAATAAAGGCAAGATAATGACAAGTCTTCGGTAGCCTCATAAGGGGCTGTCCTGTCCAGCTCTGGCATTTGCTGTGCAGTGAACCCCCAAATGAGTTTCTGTCCCCAGACAGATAAAAATGAAACCATCATTTTTCCTTTTTAATTGGGCTTTTGCCCAGTCTTGTATTTCAACAGCAAATCTATGTGGCTGCCTCATTTTACTCTACACTGGGAAATGCTCCTTTTATTGACAGTGGGCAACTGTTGCACTGGCAGTATCTAGATGCTTCCTGGGTTTTTTTTAATGTTTATTTATTTTTGAGATGGGGGTGGGGGCAGGGACACAGAGAGAGGGAGACACAGAAGCCAAAGCAGGCGCCAGGTTCTAAGATGTCAGCACAGAGCCCTATGCGGGGCTCAAACACATGAACTGTGAGATCATGACCTGAGCCAAAGTCAGACGCGTAACTGACTGAGCCACCCAGGCCCCCCTAGATGCTTCCTGTTCTAAATAGGCTATGATACTTCTTTTCCAAATCTAAGGTTTAAAACAGAAGTATTATATCAGCTGATTTTATTTTTGTTTTCTTGCAGGTTTCTGAAAAGTGCCTTTTCTGAAAACTACTGCTTGGATTCCACTCTAGAACTGTCTCTTTACAACCCCCCCCCCCCGACCTGTCCCTCTGCCAACCTGGTGTGCTTGTAGTTCACTCTCAGTAACGTGCCCATTCTTTTTTCCCTTTGATCCTCCGTTTTCACGGTCATTTTCCCTCCTCCTGATTTTGCAGCAATTTTTTTTACAGTCCTGACATCCTTACCAATATTAATCACTAAATCAAAGAAATAGGAAGAAAAAGTTTTCTCCCCTTGATCTGAGACCATTCCACAAATTGAAGGGCAGCCAGCAGCATATGCTTTTTGCACGAGTAATTGAAAACATCAACCGGAGAGCACAAAATTCTTTTGAAATCCTGCCAGTTATTTGAAGGAACTTCAGCAGAGGAACAAATTAAACACTCAATATCTTAACCTTTCTGGTTGCCTTCTTAGGAGTTGGTCTCTAATTTGATTTTTAGTTACTCCGGTACAAGTTTTATTTTGTGATTGGCTCTTTGTTTGACTAGACCAAATTTTGGCTTAAATGAAAACCTAAGTGCTAACAAAGAAGCATTTCACCAAAGCAACCTGTTATCTCTTCACATTTAGCTTGAATTCATTTTTGACCTCTTAACAGCAGTAAAGCTGTCCTAGAGAGGGTGCCCTTGATTTTAACTTTGCTTTCAATATGACGGCTGTCAATGTCACCCTGGTTCGTGACACCAAGTGGCTGACTTTAGAAGTCTGCAGAGAATTTCAGAGAGGAACCTGCTCGCGAGCTGATGCGGATTGCAAGTTTGCCCATCCGCCGAGGGTTTGCCACGTGGAAAATGGTCGTGTGGTGGCATGCTTTGATTCTTTAAAGGTGAGTCTCCTCTACATGCATGTAACATCCAATTTAAATTTCTTGATGTCTGTGTGATGTGCTTTTAAATTAGTAAAGTTAACAATAGCATGGACATGGTAAGTTTTGTTTGTTTTTTAAGACAGGCTATGGACTTTGGGTTTGTAGAACTAAGCCAGATTACAGCTAATCTCATCAAAGCCCAGTGATCAGGATAGAGTTGAAGAAAAAGAAAATGAAAGAATTTTTGTAGGAGTGAGAAATTGCAGCCTTACCATACTTTTACTTGTCTGTATATGGTTTAAATTGTGAACACAGTGATCATAAATCTCACAGAACCTAAAGAAGCCCTTTGCTGAATTATAGCTTATTACCTACGTTATCAAATATACTTGTCAGGGGCCCGTCAGCTTTCAGAAGACAAGTCAGACTGAAAGAGTATGAGGTGGAAATCTCACCGTGCGGGAGGAAAACGTGGGGCTTGAGCTCACAACCCTGAGATCTTCCTACTGAGCCAATCAGGTGTCCCAAATAACTGGTAGTTTTATTTCATATTTTTATTCTCTGTTTGAGTAAGCTCTAGGCCCAGTGTGGGCCTTGAACTCACCACCACAAGACCAAGACTCACATGCTCTACCACTGAACTGGCCAGGCACCCCCCAACATTTTGAAGTTTCTTAGTCAAGTATATTTTGAACCTTTAACTTAAACATTGTTAGCAAACTAGGTTCACTTAATCTTCTTCCTGAACTGTTGATTAACCAATTTCAGATTTATGAGGACATTTTATAAGAAATGTCCTATTGCCAGGGTCATCGAACCTGAACATTATGTACTAGAGTATGAACAAAATGTGAGGGCCAAGGAGATATTATGTAGAATGGAACATGCATGATTGCGGAACAAGAGAATGCACTGATCTTCATGTTTTATTCATAGGTATCTTTAAATTAAGGATAAAGATGCATATATTAAAGCATAGAAGTAAAAGTGGTAGTCGATTCCTGGTTGAAATTGATAAGATTCGCTACGATGCCTTTGAGATTTATTTTTGTCAAAATACATCGAAATGAATTAAGCTTAATAAGAAACTTTTCAAATTTTTGATATTGTTTTAGCCTCATCATGACCAGTTTGACCTCATTAACATTTTTGTTTGTGGCTTCATCAGTTAAAGGAGACGTATTCCTTTGTGTGATCATTTCTTCAGAGAGCATTTTATCAAGTGACATCCTACATAACTAGTTACCTTAGTTTATTTTGTGGTTACTAGTTTTTGTTGCAGACCCTCCCAGTTCAAGAATGGAAACTTGTTAGTTTTTAAATGTATATTTGTTTTGAGAGAGAGAGAGAGAGAGAGAGAGAGGGAGAGAGGGAGGGAGGGAGCAGGGGAGGGGCAGAGAGAGCGGGAGAGAGAGAATCCCAACATGGGGCTGGAACCATGAGATCATGACCTGACCCAAAATCAAGAGTGGGACACTCAACTGACTGAGCCACCCAGGTACCCCTACAAACTTTAAAAAAAAAAAAAAAAAAACACAGTAATTTTTACCATGGAAAATGTCTGAATTGGTCTTATTTGCAGCACATATTATAATTAAAGAGCTTATTCTCTTTACACTTCATATCACTCAAGTTTCATCTACAATTATTTCGTGTATTACTTAAATCTCCTGCTGCATTACTGGGCAATGCCTTGAAGCAGAAAAGAGCATGGGGCTAGTTTGGGGAGGGAAAGGAGATGTCTTTCATTCAGTCCACCTAGAGGGTCTGGCACAACACTCAGCAGTGTGCATATGTTGTTTCAGGCGATCTGGGATATGGTCCCAGCCTCACTACTGTGGCTGACCTCAGCTACTCAATCTGATAAGGCTTAAATTACTTCCTCTCTGCCGAACTTCCAGGATTACTCTGGAGAGTCCACGAGGTGACATAAATGAGAACTGATGTATCACTCTAAGAGTGAGTTAAATGAAAGATTATGTTCTCGCAGTTCACTAAGATGTTTGTTTTAGGAGTTCTTCAGAGCAGTTCTATTTAGTTAGGGCTTGTTATCGAAAACTGCAAACGCATGTTCCAAATAGACATGCCCTAATCCAGTTGCCACAAGTATCTTCTTAGTTCTTCAAGCGGAGTATCACCGGGTTTTTTTAGTTTACTCTTTGATAGAGAGTTCCTTGCAGGCTTTGCAAATTCTATCTTTCCAGACGTGTGGTGGAAGGAGATATGTGATCCTTCTAATCACTGGTATACGTTAGGTCAGTTCACCCACTTAAAGAGTGCCATAAAGGAAACATTTTGAAGAAAAGTAATAAAGCAATTGTTAACAAAACACATACTGCACCACCGCTTTAAAGCTTGGAAAATGTTTAATTCAGAGACCACATAGATAATAGGCAATGAATAGTAACAAGCCATTTAATTATTTAAATACATGTCTACTCACTGCATCCAGTGTTTTTAAAACAATTTTTACATTATGTTAATATCTTGATGACCAATCACACAGGATGAAGACGATTTACACAATCCTCACATTTTCAAATTTTAATGAAAACTTTAATATTTCAAATACACAAAGCCTTTCAAACAATTAATTAATTTGCCTCTCAGACGGCACATTTGTCACAGTCTCATGTCTGCCCAAAAGCTTTGTGGGTCTCTGCTTTAATATTATTCCGTATCCATGATATGCATGAATGCTATACAAAGTTGAGGGTAATTGAACTATGTGGATTGTATGAGTATCATATCTATAATACACAAATAACATACCTTTGTGTTTATTGCAACATTTACTACCCTCCTTGAGTATGTATAATTGAAACACCTTTGAAATGCATCTGTGCACTGTTTCTATTTCCATGAGTGGTCAAATAATTGAAGCAATCATTTGATGAGCTTTGGGCTGCTGCTCTTGGTTTTCTGTGTTTTGTTTTTGTAAGGATTCCATTAGCACTAGGTACTCTACCAGATGATGATGGTACTTTGCCTTCGTAATAGGCACAATAGACACAATGTTGAAAACTTACCTCATAATGAGGGAATGTTGTACAAATAAGGAGGGCAACCTTGATGGCTAATTGTGTGTTGTGCTGAAGTGCTGAGCCCATCATGCCATGAATGTTGAGTGTTCATTGATGAAGGTTGTACCATCTTCAGATAGAGATCTAGACTGTGCAGCCCATAGATTAATTTCCAGCTACATAAAAGAGTCTCGTGTCATGTGGATATGCGGCTGTTTTAGACCCAATTGCCTAGTCTGCTTGGCACAATTTATTTCAGAATCTCTCCAAAATATTGCTTAACCCACTCTGTGCCAATTTCTTGTTATGACAGGTTGCCATTGAGGTAGCTTGATTCTTTCAGTGAATGTCCCTTACATTTAATGCAAGATCATCAGTAAAAATACTACACTAGAATCTTTGTGATTATTTCCATAGCCAAGACTGTTACCTTCATGTATTCCGCTTCAACGGCGTCATGATGTCTTGAAGTCTCCGTCCGATACTTGAAGCAGTGTAACATTGACCACCTATTATCCAAGAAGGATGCGAATGCTGTCGTTATTTCATTATGGCAGATCAACACCCATTACATCTGCCCACCCTACTCCCCCTGTTTGAGTAGTTTTGTAACGAAAATTCCCGGAAAAGACCTTAGCAGCAGGCATAGTCAGACGACAGTCGTGTCAACCCATCTACATTCCCAAAAGATGGGAACCAAATGCAGAACACACGTAAAATAGCTGCACACTGTGTCTTCAAACATCGCATATGATCACAAACATAATCCCGTTTTGACAAGCGAAAGCTGTTGTCTAGGCATATGGATGTGAGTCCATCCTGGTGGGTCAGATGGTCCTGAGTTACCTGTATATTCTCTATCAGTATCACTAGTCACAGCAGTTTTCACTAGTTGAAAATTTGACCGAATGTTGACCTCATCCCTGTTTTCTAAGGGAAAGCTTACTGGGAGCAGAAGACTCCTGGCAGCATAATCCCAAAGGTCACTGGATTATGCAAGACTGAGAACCATGGATCAGAGAGGTCTGACTGCACTATGAAGATACATAGATAGCACCTATCATCCTGAGACTCATCGAAAGTAACTTTGTACTTAAGGATCTCTACCTTCTGTAACACTGACCTTGAAAAGGCAGTAACTTTGGCTGGTAGAAGTCAGTGCTGTTTTGGACATTTCAAACACTTCTGTTGAAAGAAAAATGGAATTACAATTAGTACCTAAACAAGTACATATTGATAGCTCGGCCTAACTTTAAAAATGTTTTATTTTGAAATAATTTCAAGCTTAGAGAAAAGTTGCAAAAATAGTACAAGGAGTTCCTGCATACCCTTCACCCAGTTTATGGTAATGTCAACAATTTACATGCCTTGCACAGCCCAGTTATCAAAACTAGGAAATTAACACTAGTACGACGTTATTAACTAAACTAAAGACCTTATTTGAATTTCACCAATTTCCCCGCAGTGTCTTTTCTCTGTTCCAGGATCCGATCCAGGATACCACATTGCACTTAATTACATCTCCTTCCTCCCCTTCAATCTGTGACAGTTCCTCAGTCTCTCCTTATCTTTCATGACCTTGACACTTTGGATGAGTACTGGTCAGTTATTTTGTAGAACGCCTCTCAGTTTGGGTTTGTCAAACGCTTTCTCATGGTTTGATTAAGCTCATGCATTTTTGGCAAGATAACCACAGGGAAGATGTACAGCATGTCCCAGAGCGCATGATGTTGATGTATCTTATCACTCATTATGTTACCTCAATCACTTGATTAGCGTGATGTCTGTTGGGTTTCTCTGCTGTAAGGTGATCAGTTTTCCTTTTGTGCAGATTGACAAATTAACTTCTTCATTTATTCATCATCTCCTACAACATGCTGTTGATTATGAGGGGCATGCTAATATGTAAGCTGTTAAAATGTGAACAAGTGTCTATGTTAGAAGTGATGTGTAATGGACTTCTATAATTATGGTCAACCAAGAAGGGGAGGGAGG